GGATAGAGTTACATACCATGGATGGGGCCAAGATGACTCCCTCCCAGTGGGCCTTGATCAATTCTGGGGCTACTGATAACTTCATATATGCTAAAGCCGCTCAAGATCTACAAATCCCTTCTGTTTAAAGTCCACATCAGTTCTTGTAGAAACAATAGACGGGTCCCTCCTGTTCTCAGTGACTCAGGAAACAGTACCCCTGGAGGCCATAATCCATGGCCATTGGGAAGTGCTACAGTTCAGTGTGATGCATCCCCCAGATTTTCCCCTAATTATTGGCATCACCTGGCTGGAGCAGCATGACCTTTGCATCTCTTGGAGAGAAAAGAGGATCAGCTTCCCCTCCAAATACTTCTGAAAGGTCTGCCTGTGCGCAGCCAGTCCCATCCTTCTGGTCCCGGCATCCTGCAGTTGATCAGAAGTGACAGCAGGGGAACTACAGCTGGCAGTGGCTAACCAGAAGGAATCACTCTCAAGCCTGAGTCCCCATCCCCATAAAAATATTGGGATTACACTGATGTTTTTGAAAAGATGAATGCGGACATGCTACCTCCGCACTGAGACTATGACTGCCCTATAGATCTGCAACCCGGGACAAAGGTCCTTTATGGACAGATCTACGCGATGCCCAAGCTTGAACTGGGAGCCCTTTGTGGATGCATCCAGGAAAACCTGGCCAAGGGCTTTATCTGGTGCTTCACTTCTCCATCAGGGGCTCTAGTCCCTTTTGTCAAGTAAAAGGACGGAATGCTATGCCTTTGCGAGACTATCAGGCCCTAAACCTGGTTACAGTCTCAAACTGGTATCCTCTGCCCTTGATCTCAGAGATACTGTATCATGTGCGGTCTGCCAGACACTTCACCAAACTGGACCTCTGGGATACTTACAAGCTAGTGCGCATCAGGGCAGGGGATGAATGCAAGACCATGTTTTGAACCTGCTATGGGCATGTCACATATTTAGTGATGCCATTTGGGCTGCCCCATGCTTCTGCTACTTTTCAACACTTTGTGACAGTCGTATTTAGAGACATCCTCATTCAGTATGAAGTCATCTATCTTGATGACATGCTTGTGTTTTCAGACAATCTTGAGCAGCGTTGTTACCATGTTCATTCCATCCCAGAAAGTCTACAAAAGCCTGGCCTGTTCACAAAGTTGGAAAAATGTATCTTTGACTAGTCCTCTGCAGAATTCTTGGGTTACATCCTCTCTCCAGAGGGTGTTAAGATGTACCTCCCCAGAAGGTGGAGGTCATCTGTAGCTGGACTGTGCCCAGGTCCCACTGGGAATTACAGTACTTCCTGGGCTTTGCAAACTTTTATTGACAATTCATTCCAGGCTTTTCAGCGCAAATAGCCTCCATGACCAACCTCCTCTGCAAGGACGCCAAGTTTGTTTGGACTCCCAAAGCTCACCATGCTTTCAAACAACTCAAGATTGCTTTCACCACTGTCCCCATTCTAACAGACCTGGACCTGGTACAGGCATTCATAATGGAAGCTGATACCTCCAATGTAGCCATCAGGACAATACTCTCCTACAGCGATGGCCCATAGCAAGTCTTGCACCCCTATGCCCACTATTCCAAAAAACTTACTCCTGCTGAAGAGAATTATGAAATACTGGATAAGGAACTACTCAAAATTAAATTGGCCTTTGAAGAGTGGTGCCATTATCTTGAGGGAGCCTGACAGTCAGTGCAAGTCTTTCTGGACCACAAGAACCGTGAATATCTGCAGAGGGTTTGAGCCTTGAACCAAAGACAGCTCAGGTGGGAGTTATTCTTCTCTTGGTTTGATGATATCATCATCACCTATCACCCAGGAACCAGGAGTGGGAAAGCCAATGCCTTATCCTGAAAGAAGGAATACTACCAAGAGGCGGAGAAGCCTAGCCAAGAACCACCCTGTCTCTTAAAACCTCACAAGTTCCTCAGTGCCACAATACATCGAGACCTGCTTGATCTAATCCACTCTGCTTCACGGGGCTATCCATTAGCCCAGGAAGTGATGGAACAGCCTGAGCAAATGAAAGTCAGAACCAAGATGCAATGCTCCACTCTGGATGGGATCGCCTACCTCGCCAGGCACATATACATTTCACCAGGGAGCCCCTGGCTAGAAGTGCTCCATCTCTGTCATAACACTCCATTGGCAGGCCACTTTGGCTGCCTTAAATTTTCTGAATGGCTTCCTGTTTCTTCTGGTCCCCGTATGTGAGCTGAAGTCTAGGATTATGTTAACTCGTGTGACCTGTGTGCATGCACCAAGATGCCATGTGTTAAGCCCCTCAGCACCCTAGTGCCCCTGAAGACCCTGTCTAGACCCTGGGCCTCGATCACCCCAAACTTCATAATGGAACTTCCTGACTGATGGCCACACAGTGGTCTTGACTGTTGTGAACCAAATGACCAAATGGGGTAATACATTCCCTGTAACAGCCTGCCCTCTGCTGAAACAACAACTTGACTCCTGGTGATTCATGTGGTCCGCCTTCATGGACTTTTGGACTGTATCATCTCAGACCAAGTCCCAACATTTGTCTCATGCTTTTGGCTTGAAGTGCTCCAGCTAATGGACGTTTGTGCTTTTACGCTATTTGCGTACCATCCCCAGACAGATGGGCAGACAGAGAGGGTGAACCAAGTACTACAGCTGAGGTGCTTTGTCAGCTATCTTCAAGACAACTGGTTCTCCCTCCTTCTGTATGCTGAGTTTGCACACAACAATTCTGACCATGCTTCCATGGGGCAGAGTCCCTTCTTTGCCAATTATGGTTTCTATCCTCATTTCCAGCACCCCCAGCCTAGTCAGCAGTCTGGGAATTCACCATATCCAGCAAGAGCTTAAGAACCACCTCAAAGATGTGAAAAGGGACTATAAGCAGTACACAGACCACTGTTACAGGAAGGCCCAGCTCTCATGGTAGGTCAAAAGGTCTGGCTTACCCCAAAGCACCTCTGTACGAACAGACCATTCCACATGCTAAACCACCAGTTCCTTGGACCCTTTTGCATCTGTCAGCAAATCAACCCCATCACCTTCAAATTACAGTTCCCTCAATCTCTTAAGGTACATCCTGTTTTCCATGTATCCCTCCTGAAGCCTTACATAGAAGACCCCTTTCCCGATTGGTCCCAACCACTGCCCCCACCAATCCAGGTCACAGGAATATATAGTTCATACCATCCTCGACTCTAAACAGCAAAGGGGGAGACTACTAAATAATCAACTGGAAGGGCTATGATCCTGAAGAATGCTCCTGGGAACCTGCTGCCCATGTCCATGTCCCTGATCTGGTAGAAAGTTTTCATCAAGACCACCCAGATAAACCTGGTCTGGCCACTGTGGTGTCCCTGAAGAAGGGAGTGATGTAAAGATATGGGGACTGAAACCAGGGTTTGCAGAGCCTGGGACAGCTGATATTCCCACAGTACCACCAGGAGGCCATGTAGAGTCCAGCCAGGGAACACTGTGGAGAGTAGGCACCACAGGAAGTACTGCCCAAGAGAGCCAAAGTGACAGTACCCTGCAGCCCTCTGATTGGCCAATGTCCTGTTTAACCTCAGGAGTTGCCCCAGGAAGTTATCTGGGTAACCACACAAATGTTGGCATTTTGCAACACCAAACTTTTCATGATCTCCTGGTGTCAGCTGTTCGCAGCGGGCAGGAGGCGCTGGGGGGAGGGGGAGGTGCTGATCAGCAGGGCCCACCGGTGGACAGGAGGCACTGGGGGGTGGGGGAGGTGCTGATGGGGGCGCTGCTGGTGGGTGGTCAGCACAAACTATTTTTTCCCAGCCCTGGAGCACCCACAGAGTCGGCACCTATGCCTGATACTGCCTCTGATCTCTGGTCTCTGATTCCAACCTGATTCTGACCCTGACTCTTGCTTATGGGGCCTGGCTCTTGTGATTCCTTCAAATCCTGGTTGGTGACTACTGTTCCTGGTGGACAGATCTCAGCCCAACTGTCACTGCTAAGCCAGACCACCTATGCTCTTGTCCCTTGCAGCAAGGGGGCTCACTTTTGGGGCAGAGAAACAACATTCTTGGACAATCTCAGTGGAACAGAGTTTGGGACTGTGCCAGAGTCCTCCCAAAATTCCAGTTTTCTTAGTCAGCTCCATCTCTCAGGAATTTACCGCTGTCTCAGGCAGGGTTGGAAGTCCCCATAACCGGAAGGATTTTGTTGATATTCAGATTTCTGAACTGTATGAATTCCTCTGTGAAGGGTCACATATGTAACCAACCAACCAACCAAGTCCACTGTACCAAGCCCTTTGCTCTATGGAGGATAGAATTCTAAGGATTCACATGATCACATCCATGTGTGGGTGTCACTGTGAAAGCACATGGAGCAGGGATCAATCATTCATTGGGTGGGACAGGATTTAACACCCCAACCCCTGCCCAGCCTGCCCCCAAACCAGGAAGATCCTCAGGGATCCATGCAGATCTTAAGAGAGCTGTGGGAGGCCAGAGCCATCCACACAGAGGCCCTGTACTTCTTCACTTGCTTTTATGTCCAATGGACCCCAACAACAGTCCATGGCCACACTGGTAGCACATCAGTGCATGAATACAAGGTAGGTGGAGTTCAGATGCCAATGAACTTTGTGCTAGAACCTGAACCCAATCTGCTGTGAAGAGATCCACTCAAGGCATCAGAGCTTTATTTTCAACTATGCTCATTTTGAGCTCTTCCCAACTTGTACTGGAAGTTCTTTGGATCAGGGACCATAGACTCATAGAATATCAGGGTTGGAAGGGACCTCAGGAGGTCATCTAGTCCAACCCCCTGCTCAAAGCAGAACCAATCCTCAATTTTTGCCCCAGATCCCTAAATGGCCCCCTCAAGGATTGAACTCACAACCCTGGGTTTAGCAGGCTAATGCTCAAAACACTGAACTATCCCTCCCACCATGTCTCTGTTATGTGTTGTACAGTGCCCAGGACAATGCAATGCAAATAAATAACAACAGTATCTCTTTTGCCTCCAGCTTCCTGATCCCACTTCATTTCTGACGTCTGGTCTCGTGATTATGAAAGTACAGAGAAGGGTTATCGCATCACCTACCAATCCCCAGAGAGTATATCCCCAAGCTTATTTGGTTCAGCATGCATGAGAGGTAAGAGGGAAAGAGAGGGACACTAAGAACAGACCAGTCACAAACAACTAAAATTAGCCCTGAGAATAGGAATGCTGAAGTCTCTGAGGAACACCATCTAAAGAAAGAGAAACAAAAGATTTTTTGGTAAACTCCCACTTGTTCTGCTCCCACTGAGGTCTCTGCGGACCTCGCCCCCTCCTAGTATATCTTAAGATACACATGGCTAGTCAAAAGGAATTTCCCCTTACGTGTCATTTTCCTCTTTTGGAACTGCAGAACAATGTGGCCTGGAATTCCTGATACTGTGGCAGATTTCTAATTGGAAACAGGAAAGACAGGACATAATTCAGAGCTCAGCCTCTATGATAACCTGCACATTACATCCAAGCATGGCTAGGATGCATCTGACATATGGTAACAATCTGCAGCCCCCCTAAAAACGATTTACAAGGCCTTAAAGGGTTCCTATATCATATCAGAGGCAATCTTTTGAAAGCAGATCTGGGTGCAGCCTCAGTTATCACAGATCAAATTTTCTTGAATAATTCTTATAGATTCTCAGAGACCAGTAAATTTGGGATTGTAAACCTCTGTGTGGCCAGAGTACATGGCCTTAGAATCAAAAGACGTGGAGTGAAGGCAAATAGCCAATCTCCTATAAAATCTAATTAAGGGAATCCGCTGAGAACTATTCCTAACATACAGCTATTGGCAAGGTTTTAAAGGCTGACCTGTTGTTTCCTGGAAGCATCTGATGGAATAAATACTTTTATAGCACCTGCCCTCCGACCACTGCCTCTTTCCAGGTTAAGACTGAATGCAGGGGGTCCCTGTTGGAGACATTAGTTTCAGAGCCAAATCCTGTTTGCCTAGAGTAGTTCCATTGATTTACGTGGCAACAACTCATGTGAGTAAGGCAAATAATTTTAGTTGAGAAGCTGCTTTGGTTCTACAGTGGTCTGTAGATGGAAGGGATGGCATTCATGTGGCAATAAGGTCTTCCTTGCATGGCTCCACAAGCCAACCATTTGTCTTTACAACACTATATAGCTAAGGTTACATTAGCCCCCATTGGGCAAAGCTGTCATGGTACATGAAATATTATGATGATTGTTTATGCTGAATTTGATCATGAGTTGGAGACCAAAACAACCTCCCTTCCTACCCCACCCTTCCTTACATCAAGTGGAGCAGTGGTGTGTGTGCATCAATGGGTGAGCCTGCCACCTGCAGCAGAGTGAATTCCTGAAACACAGGATGATTCTGCATTGAAACTACAGGAGGAAGAAGAACTTCCCTAGCAATGGACTGTTCCACTTGAACTAGTCAGGGAGGGGAAATAGTGTGTAGCTATGCACTGTTCAATTGTAACTACACTGTAGGGTGGGGGGCAAAACAGGGCCATTTCATTCCAGCAGTGCTTGGGGTGGGCCTGCAGTAGTTGCATTCTGTAGGGTGTTCCATTGCACCTGACAGGGAGGAGAAGAAGCAGGATTTGGATGTTTTTAAAAACAAATTTTCAGTTGAAATTAAGAAAAACAAAGGATGATTTTTATAAGGGTTTATATGCTTCCCTTGAGGGGCTTCTAGTTGCATTAGAAGGCTCCTTATTTGCAGCGTTGTCCTAGAACCACTTGGCTTTGTTTTGTACAGATGATTTCTGTACTGTCAGAAGATGGGGAAAGGCTGCTGGATAGCCAGTTCTCTACTGGAAGTTACAGACCCTTCTTTTTTGGTAACTTGGAGTTGTATAAAGTCTCCCCACCTTTCTCTGAGTCAGCATATGGGTAAAGCTATTGATTCCTCCCCAACATGACAGAAGCTTTCAGAGCCTTGCTCCTAATTTTTGCCATAAAATCACAGATTAAAGCAAGGTGGATCATAGCTCTCTCTCTCCACCCATCCATTAAAAGTCTAGGGAGAACCACCCCTTTTCCCGGCTGGTGCAGCGAGAGTTCCCCCTCCTGTTTCAATCTGTGTTAACCACTACACAAAATCACAGCCAAGAAGATGGGAAGAGTGGAATGTGGATGCTATCCCATATAACAGCTACAAGTCAGTGACAAAAATTACCCCGGTTTGGGAAGGGGTGGGCATAAGAGTCAGATTTGTGTTTTTAGTACTGTGCCAGAGTTCTGAGGCTGGGGCTGCAATCATTCAACAAGAATTGTTAGAACCTAAAATGTTCTACACCTTTCTGTCTTCAGAACTCTTTTTCGTTCTGACGTGCTGCTCAAATGGACCAGCTCCAAGACTCCCACTGCAGAACAACTCTTTCTTTTCACAGAGTTGGCTCTTTTTGACCAGATCTGTAGCTCTTCCTCTTCAGCTCACCTCTCCTCTTTCCTGCGTCCTCACCCTATGCTAATGTCTTCATCTTCCCCTCTCTCCCTCCTGGCCAGCAAACTGTTTCTCCTCTGTGCATGGCCAACATGCAGCTGCAGGTCTTCCCATAGCCTGGCTGGAACAGCTGCAGCTGCTAAATATGTGCTTGCTGGTCATCTGTGCCTTAGGCTCTCTCTGCATAACTGGCTTCCTTCACTGCTTCGGCTCTGTCGCTGCCCTCTTGCATGTCTCTCCAAAATGCATGCATCCGATGAAGTGAGCTGTAGTTCATGAAAGCTTATGCTCAAATAAATTTCTAAGTGTCTAAGGTGCCACAAGTACTCCTTTTCTTTTTGCGAATACAGACTAACACGGCTGCTACTCTGAAACCTCTCCAAAACAGTGCTCCACAAACTGCTGTGCCCTGAGCTTGAGCTCTTAGACACGTTGGCTGCTGTGACCCTGGGGATCAAGGGACATGCCAATAACTACTATTAATAATAATTATAATGGTTATTTATATTGGGGTAGCACCTAAAGACTAGTCAGGATGTGGGCCCCACTGTGCTCAGTGTTGTGCAATCACACAGAAAGACACTATCCCAGCACGGAAGAATTTATCCTTAAATTAAAATCAAAATCTAATTTCAAGGAACTGCTTTGGAAGAGGTTTGGTAGCAGAGATGTTAAGAGTAAAACAAGGGAGTTGAACTCTGTTAATAGAGGAGGCTGTGTTTTTAGAGTCCTGATTGTAACATATTGACTCACAGGCCTATTCCTGGAGCATCTGTTAAAGATACTTTCATTTAATGCAAAGGTAAACAGCTTTACCACATTTCTTTTCCATGGTTCCACCTGGAGAAACCTTGTATTTATTACAATACTCTAGTTACAGATTAACTCTCTTGGCATAGTATTTATTGTCACCTGCCATGAAATGGAAATCACAGGCATTTTGATAAATTAACTGTAATTTCACTGTGACTTCTTTCAACACCTTTGCATCCTCTGCTGAAACTTCCTTCAACAACACATAAGGGAATCACAACTAATAGATATCTCTGTACCGCTGATTAAAGTAAATGGGGTGTGAGACTATTTTTTGCTCTTTCTTCAGCTGTAAAAGAACACCATTTTCACACATCTGTGCTAAATCTAGCACCAACATTTTCACTTCTGACATTAAGACAGTAGGTATGGAACTTAACATGCAGACCTGGGAAAGGTTTTCAGTTTTCTTTTGATGAATTTATTGTTCTTAATACATGAAGAGCAAGGAAATAAATGAGTGACACAACCCTTATTCTAGGCTGTATATCTACCATTCCCTCATCTTTTGTCTCATACAGCATTCAAAGATTTATGGAGCAAAATTCCAGAACAGTGAGGAAATGGAAGTTCTGTCTTTTGCTCCAGATAAGGCTTTTTGTCTTGAAATCTTCAAATGAGCAATACTGAAAATCCCCCAAACTCTGCTGGGCAGCATAGGCCTGGCTTGACAAAAGAAACTTGCCTTATATTTTAGTGGGTATGATTGGGAAGGTGAGTGGAAGGTTATGTTGTCATAACAAGCAGTATGTTGGAATCAGAATGGCTAGCTAAGATCAGCGGAAACATGCTGGTAATAGTAAACAAGCCTAAATGTAAGATTAGGTAGAGGTCAGATTATGCACAAACAGTGCATAGACAGAGCATTCTACAAAGCACACTACAAAGTAACCAAGCCAGTTCCAAAATGTATGATACAACGTATAGTAAATGCAATGTAATATGTAAATGTATATAAAGGAAGAGGTTTTCTATGTAACTTTGGACGTGTAATACACCCTATGTACACTCCCTACGCTTGAATCTGATCATCTCAACGGGACATTAGAGGGATAAGACTCTGAGTTACTACAGAGAATTCTTTCCCAGGTATCTGTCTGGAGGGTCTTGCCCAAATGCTCAGGGTCTAACTGATCACCATATTTGGGGTCGGGAAGGAATTTTCCCCAGGGTCGGATTGGCAGAGACCTTGGAGTATTTTCACCTTCCTCTGCAGCATGGAGCACAGGTCACTTGCAAGTTTAAACTAGTGTAAATGGTGCATTTGATTACTTAGTAACTCAGCCAGAGGTTAGGGGTTTATTTCAGTTGTGGGTGAGGTTCTGTAGCCTGCAAGGTGCAGGAGGTCAGACTAGATGATCACTATGATCCCTTCTGATCTTAAAGTCTACTACGAGTCTATGAATTCAGTGTTCCTTTGCTATATGTAATATAAAGATACCAAAGTGATGACACCTGGAGTCAAAGTGAGTTCTCGGGAAGCTGACTGGAAAGAAGTCTCAGAGGGAATCCCAACAGGTGGGACTCTGGATCTTTGCAGGGGGAGAGTGCTCTTCTGTTGTTGAGGCTTATGGCTGGCTTTTGAATGAAAACCCAGTTTGGATTTTAAAAACAACATCAACAACCACAACTGCGGTTTGCACACACCAGAACTGTCTTTAGATTTTTAAACCCCATGTTTCTTTGACATCTGTTTGGCGGCCTGTGCAAAGTCAGTCAGTCAGCTCATTAGTGGACAAGTGGCCACATCATAAAGTAACACGATCACAACCGTACCCTTGTTAGCAGTTTCCACAAACCAGGTGGGCCACATAGGCTGAGACACTTTCTCACTCCTACAGGAGGTTTCTGCAGGGCACAGAAGAGGTTCATTGGGGAGACAGTGTGGGGAAGCTCATTCTGCTGGTGCCCATACTGTACCCATTCAATGGCTAAAGAGGGGATGTTTGTCTCTAGTGTCTTCAGTCTGACAGCTTTCACCAGCTCCCATGTCACTTAAAATGAAACAAGTAGCACCTTCAGCTGTCTACATCTCTTGATGTTCCTTCATTTTCTGCCTTTGATAATTTTAATAATTTGAACAGTTAGAAATTGCTTTTCATCCCCAAGATCCCAAAGGTCTTTACAATGGGCCAACTCCCAGGGGCTGACAGGCCCATTACTCTAGCAGAGGTGTGTGCTGGCCTACCTGAACTTCAGGATGGTCAGACCAGTGCAGGAGGGGAAACAAAGTGACTATCCCTGCACTGGTTCTTCTTCCTGACCCTCTCTCCCCGCCAACCCTCATACAGGGATTGTGGAGGCCACAGGGCCCTGCAGAGTGACCTATGGGGAAGGGAGTGAGGGGACTGGTGATGGTGGGCCAAGCTCAGTCAGAGCCCTAAAAATACTGAGCCCCCCCCAGAGTGTGACTAGCATGTGGTGAGCCAGACGCCTGGCCAGGCTACAGAACTGTGGCCAGGCTCTCTGCTCGCTGAACTCCAAATGCTGTATTGGGACCTAAGTAAATATATCCAGCTACCAGTGCAGACACCACTGAAGTGCAGCACCTCTGGGATGGGAAGGTGCAATGGCTGAACAGGGCACAAGTAAAGGAGGGTAATGTATTTCAGCAGGGAGCCAGGGAGTGTGACTGTAATTACCCAAACTTGAATTTGGGCAGGACACCCAGGCTAATACTCCTGCTTTTGTGAAAGCAAGCAATGAGCTCTTTAATGAGCACACCGTATCAGGACCTTCAGCTTACATCTCACCCATAAGATAGCTAGCCACAAAACCTCTCACCTACGAGCTGCCCCATACAGCTGATCCCCAGAGAGCAGCTGCTATTGCTGCTCACCAGATATCATACACACTCCTTTCTCCCCACCCTCCCAGACAGGCAGCATCTCCTTCAGGATATGCTGATAGTTACTTCCAGCCTCAATTGCAGTCATGAGCCCAAACTCAACTGGTGTGTGGCCACAATACCACCGAGCTGCCTTAAAGCTCCCTGAAAAATGTGAAGCATTCCAGTCATTTTAATTACTGTGCATTGCATAAGCCCGAAACCAGTTCATACAAAGAAACAACAGAAAAGTGTTTTTCAGTTGCTCTCACTCTCTTCCTTGCTCAGTGCCAGGCTCCAAAGCTCTGGGAACTCCAGCTCTTTTTAGCATTTGAAGCACTTCATCAATTTGAAATCTCTTTGTTCAGTCATTTAAAGCGATTGATGCAGTTTAGAGTTCAGTTTTAGAAATACTTCCATTTGAAAATGGCTCCACTAGCATGAAAGCAAAGCAAAGAGATGTGGAAATCTTATTTTAAACAAAAATGAAGTAAAATCATTGCTTGCAAAAGTAAGGTTCCAATAATGTTGGCTAGAAACACACACACACAGCTTTGTCAGAGCACCTAATCACAACCTCCATCCCCAATTTAGAGGGCTCAACGATCCTTCAAGAGGCTGAGCCCTTTGGCTCTGATCCAGCCATGCACTTGAGCACTTGCTTCACTGTATGCATGTAAGCAGTCCCTTTGTCTTCAATGGGACTTAAATATGTGCTTAAGTGCTTTGCTGTATCAGGTTCAGAATGGTTAGCACCATGCAGGATCTAGACCCCCGTTTCAGCTTTATAAGGCTTGTAATAAAACATTTTATTCTTTAATGTCCACCGGTGACTGAGGAAAATAACAGTCAGTCTGATTTGAGGATACCCTAACTATTGAGAGGTTGATTTCTTATCCTAAAATCCCTTTTGTGTAATGTTGCTGGTGCCACATGGCAGCTGTGTTCCACACCAGAATGGGGGCTCTCCATACACACATCCCGTTAAGCACATCAGGATCCCTTGGAATTAAATGTGCTATAGAAATGCTTGTGGTGATTATCATGATCTAGTTTATCTGTAATTGGAAGCTCGGGAATGGGGTGTAGTCTCACCTGCATCTGACTTGCAGCCAGGAAGGTGGCATGATTCCTTTATAACCTCAGAGAATTAGATCAAATAAAATTTGTACAGAGAGAGAGAGAGAGAAAGAGAGAGAGGGAACCAAAGATGTAGCTTTTAAAGAAACTACAAAGCAACTATTTTGTGATTAAGCGTAACCTATGAAGTTCACTGGCATAAGAAAGCAATTAGTAGAGGCACTTTTCTTAACCTTTCTTCATACAAATAAATCATAGCTAACGTGAACAAACAACACTGAAAAACAGTGTCTCCCCAAAGAGCAGCTTATAAAAATACAGCGGACTAGATCCTTGATAAAGAAACATATAATAACAGAATCCCTTTTGTGAAGCCAGGACTGTTCATGTGGGATTTCGTATTTCATTGCACAGTGTGAGACAGCAGGTCAAGAGACACCCCGCAATCTAACAGACTCAAAAGTGGCACCAGCCAAGACAGAAAGGTATTTATTCTCTGCCCTTGTCTGTATGAAGGCAGCCTGGTGTAAAGATGGCCATTTTCAGTGACCAAGGGCCAGATGCTAAATTGGTGTAAATCAGCACAGCTCCATTGACTTCAAGGAGACTTATTAAAGCAAGGGAGGAAAACTTATTTTGCCGCATGACTCCATGTTCATGGACTGAGTCAACTTTCCGTGGAGAAGTTAGAATTTGTAAAAAAGATGTATAGTGCTTTAAGTTTACATATTGTTCATCGAAGTGGCTGGGCTGACTAACTTGCAGACAGGAGTCTACTGACTGCAGTGGGGCTCTGCGCCTTTATGCCAGTTGTGGGTCTGACCCTGGGTGCTCCTTGCTGGAGCAGTTCTGGCACTGCTTTGCACTTAATTTTGGTACTTTTAACCAGCAGTTCCCCTAGTTTCATGAAACGTCTTTTTGTACTAATTACATTCAGAAGTTTTTGTCAGTTCAGAAGCAGTTGTCTTGCAGTACCTAGGCCCAATAAAATTTCACTTTCATAGGTAACCAGAAAGGAGGAGAATACCCTTTCCATTACTTTACAGTAGTAGCTTGCATTTACATAGCACCCTTTGTCCTGAAGGAGAATCCCAGAGTGATTTACACCCTTTGTATCGGGGCTACTTCAACCATGGCAGCCACCTCTGGTATGGAACACTTCAGACATTCCCTGCCAGCATCAGCATGCAACAGGATTTGAAGAGGGGGACGAGAAGAATAAGGTATCCCATTTAAATTGTAGTGGGAACTCGTGGAAGCAGAAAGTAGTTATTGTTGCTGGAATTTAACCAGAACATAAAAGTTAACCATCCTACTCTTGCAAAAAGCACCATGGATTACCACTTTGGTTATCACAAGTGGTCAGAACCTGGGCTTCACTCCACGTTGAAACAAAAGCCAACCTATATCTTGCAGCGCAGTGCCCCCTAGCACTATGTTGAGACATTAACTCAGGACTGACTCAGAGGAAAGGACACCACGTACTGAGTCACCAACACCTACAGATGTTACATGGGTTATCCTTGGAATTTTCACACCCAGTATTGACATAGCCCAGTCATGCTTAACTTGTGGGATCCTAGCACAAAGTGAATCAAGGTACTTTTGAAAATGGCCACAAAAGGCTTAATGCTTTCTTCAAGAAGAAGAGCTGAATACTGGTTTTTCCTTCTTTAGTTTTCCCTCCAAAAGACATTGTGGCCCAGAGGCAAGGGCATTAGATGGGGAACCAGATCTAAGTTCTAATTCCAGCTCTGCACTGACCTGCTGCATAACCTTCAGCAAATCACTTCCCCTCTCTGTGCTACAGTTTCCCCATAATAATAACAATAGCGAGATCTTATACAGCTCTTCTCAGCATTCAGTACAGGGAGAAATATAGAAAAACCAATATAGCACAATAGAAAAGCCACCTCTTTGACAAAGAATGCACTGGTGGCAAACGGTCTCCAAATATCATTAGTCCAACAACTGCTTATACATGAGTCCAGGAGGTTCAGATTGAAGGAGGGTAGCACAGTGAGGCAGTGGCCTTATTTTGTACATGACTACCAGAACACTTACTCATAGTCAGGAGAGGATGACCAGCCAGGGCAACTGAAAGCAATCTGTGTCCCTTTCATCTTGAAATGGAATTGCAGGTTACTTCTCCAGGTTACATCAGAAAAAATGAACTAGCAGCTGTATTGGTAACTTTAACAATCCTGGTCAGGACCCACCTAAAACATAAGCAACTTCTTGGAGCCCCAAGCATTTAGGAGCCTCCTGTAACTTCAGGAATTCATGGCCTGATCCCCATTTCAGAACCAGAGGGGGAAGGAAATCAAAGGTTTGTTCCTCTGCCCCTTTCAGTTTCTTCCAAGTATGTCTTTTGTCTAAGTATAATACCAACTCTTAGCATGTAACATCTTCACAGCATTTTACAAACTTCAACTCATTAACTCTCATAACACCTTTGTGAGATAGGTTTCCATTACTATTTCCATTTTAGAGATGAGAAAACTGACTCAGAGAGTGACCTGGTCAAAGCAACAGAGGGAGTCAGTGGGATAAAAATTTGGGTGTTTGTGGGCCAAACTCTCTCATTTTCAGAATATCCTTCCTCTCTCAAATATTGTGTTGTGGTGCTCTTTGCTGATTGGTCAGTTGTATCATGATGCTGGTGATGTCAATTTCAGACCCATACTTTTAAATAATGAAAAAAGTGCAGGGCAAGATTCTGATCTTATTAATATGGGTTTACACCAGTGTATCTCTGCTGATTTCAATGGAGCTACTCCTGATTTACACCAGTAAAACTGAGATCAGAGTCTAGTCCCAGGGATTTAGCTTTTGTCATATGCACTCAACTACAGATTCCAAATACCCAACTCATATTTTTGCCTGGGGTTTCTCAAGTTACAAAGATGGGTCACAAAACTATGTACAGTTAGACATGAAAGTGATCTGCTTCAGAGAGCTGTCTCTTACTCTCATGTACTTATATTTATATATATATATACATTGTGTGAGCACCACACAGTTTTTAATATATTTAACCACACAACTCCCCTATGAGGTAGAGAAGTGCTATCATCCTCATTTTACAGGTGAGGACCTGAGGCACAGAGAAACAAAGAGTATTGTTTACATTGAAAAATAAAACAACAAAACCCCAAACCTCCAACCCCTCCCCGCAGCTCTGAATCTCAGAGCTGGGGTCTACAGATTCAGGCTTGTGGGGCTCACACTACAGTGCTAAACATAGCCATGTATATGTTCCTGCACGGGCTGGAGCTCGGGCTCTGAAACCCAGAGAAGGGGGTGAGTCTCAGAGTCAGAGTTCCAGCCCGAGTGGGAATGTCTACACAGCTATTTTTAGCACAGTAGCACAAGCCCCAGTTTGTAGACCCAGACTCTGAGACACGCTGCTGTGGCTTTTTTCTTTTTGTAGTGTAGACATACCCTAAGTGGTCACACTGGGTGACACAGCTTGAACCCAGGTCTCCCAAGTCCCAATCTAGCACCACCTTAACCTCTAGACAATCCTTCCTCTCTAACATAATCATCCATACTGTAGTGGTCTAATAGTAATACCCAAAACAAAGTGTATCCTTCCAAGGAACTGGAGTTCTTAATTTGTTTTCTATAGGCTGTACACTTAAAGACAAGGTACAGATAGGCAATCTTCCACGCAGATGTAACTGAACCGTAAATTTGAAGATTTAGCCTACTGTTTAGAAACTTAGGACAGCTGGTCTCTGGCCTTTAATACTGGCATAATGTATAACTAGAAATGCTTAAGTCTTATAAACCCCATGGAAAGTACTCTGATATTAAGTGCAGTGGTTTGATACTTTCATTAATCACTCCTCAGCCCCTTTGCAGGATAATAAGGCTGTCTGTACTGTGCATCTGGCACTCTCCCATCCTCAAAGTCCAGCTCTACTGTAACAGTTACATGTCTGCATCTGAGAGAAATGTACAGTTCCCAACAGGGATAAGGGAAAACAAAGCAAACAGGACTTCGCTACACATTGCACTAAAGCGGCACTGCTAAAATATATAGCAAGATTAAGAGTTGGGAGTGCCTGGGTAGATATGACAGGCTTTTCTTCCAGCTCGGTTTTAATGGTTTGCTTTATCACCCCTTGCTGCTTGTGGGGAAGGGTTTGGATAGGATTAAAAAACACAAGCATAAAATCCTGGTTTACAGCCCAAATAGGACTTGCCCTCCTTTTTTCCTTCCAACCCCATTCCATTGCACACCGAGGAAGGAAAAGAAGCACTACTATGTTCGTTTCATGCTGTGATATATTTTCTTTTAAAAAAAGCATTCATATTCATATTCTAGGATCTCCAGTTTAAAATTAGCTCCCACTCAGATGAGCTATTTTCCAGGAAAGTAATTAAAGATGAAAAAAAAAATCTGTCTGCACTTTGAATTGATCTCCCCATATTGGATTCTGCCACCGAAATATGTGTTCGAGTGTGAGGCACATTGTCAAAACTTGTGTAAATGATCATAGCTCCATCACTGAAGTAAGGTCGAAGCTATGGCAGTTTGCACCAGCTGGGGATCTGCTCCGCTCTGTGTTCCCAGCTGCACCCCCGGTGATCCAAGAATAATGCAACCTGTTTGCAACAGCATCTGCCTCCAGCACCAGGCGGTGGGAAAGGAGAGCGGCTGCCTTGAACAAGGAACTTTTGATGGGGCTTTGAAACAGGTAGCAACCCTTTCCTCCATCTGTCCCTCTCCCTGCTCCAGAGCTGCACATGCCCCCCACACTCCCACAGCCACATTATTCCCTATAAGGCACTGAATCCCTCGCTCCAACCCCGCCCCCCCGCAGCTTGTCCCTAGCCTCTCCCCTTTTGCCTGGGAGATGAGGTAATGCGGGGCTCCGATTGGTCGGGACGGGGGCGCACCCCACGAGCCCGAGAGGGCGCTATCCAGGCTATAACTGCAGCCGCCAGCTCAGAAGAGCAGCAAAGGCGCGGAGAGCTTCGAACTTCGCGTGCAGGGCGAGCCCCGGCGAAGCTGCCGCACAACTGCATTTCCCAGCAGCAGCAGCTGTCTGGAGAGGGGGCGGGGGGGGGCAGCGCAAGGAGAAGAGGCTCAAAGCCCGTTTAAAAAGAAGCCTAAAAAAGAACAACACCCCCCCCTCGTAACAAGCCAGCCGTCCCCTCCTCTCCTCAGCGGAGAGCAACCTTGGGCCAGCAGCCGCGCCAGCATCATGTCTGTGTGGCTCAGCCTCCTCCTCGTGCTCCTCTGCAGCTGGAGCCTGAGCGACTTGGTGGCGGAGGCTTGTACCTGCCTCCCCATCCACCCGCAGGATGCCTTCTGCAACTCTGACATCGGTGAGTGTCCCCTTCCTGAGGCCCGCGCCCGGCTCCTCCCGGCGGCTGGCGCCTCTGCCCCGCTGCCAGCCTTCTCCGCGCTCCCAGCCGCGGGGAGGAATGAGTGCCCCGCTGCAGGGGAGATGCGCCGTGTGGTACCAGAGATGCACCCGTCGCGTTGACGGGGGGAGGTAGCGGTGCGGGGTTCGGCGAGCGTGCGGTTTGCAAGCAGAGTTTCCCGCGTGCAGGTGCGCGGGTGCTTTGCCAGAGGGGAGAGAGAGAGAAGTTGAAATGCCCCCCCCCCCCCGCCTGCAGTGCGCGCAGAGAGAAGGTGGCACTTCTCTTCCACACTGATATGATGTTCCCTGACCTCTAGAAAGTTCTCTGTGTGGGGCTGGGACGGAGGAGGGAACCTTTTTTGCTCAAACTTTGACAAGTAACCGGCATATGAAATACTGGATGGAAAACCACCAGTTTAGGCTTAATCAGACCCATTTATAAGAAGCTGGAGGGCTAGAGAACTACTTCCAAATTACAGCGCCCCCCTCCCAGTCTTTCTCCCCCACTTCCAAAAAACCATTAAGGCTTTATCGTTACAGTTCTAAGCAATCAAGTTAAAATGGGGGCAGGATAAAAATTGTGGAAGATGACCTGACCTATGTAGCTTTCTGGAGTTGCCTTATGCATCTCTCTCTCTCTCTCCCTTTTTTTTTTTTAAGTGGTGATTTTTTTTTTCCCCTTAAGGAACAATGAAGAATGGGAGTTGTTTTAAAAATTAAACTCTGTACAACAGCTTTTCCAAGACTGCCACCTCTCCAAGAAAAACAAGCTTTGCAGACTTTCTAGAAATCAGTAATTGTAAAAGTGACAGGCTTCCTGCATACAGACACAGACAAAATTGAAGGTGTGGGCAGCCAAAATTTCCATCATGACCTCCTGCCAAGCAAATAATAATACTTAACAACAATAAAAGTCAGGACAATTTCTCCCAAGCTAGGGACCTGCCCTTGGCAATTTGGAATGATGTAATTCACACCAATTAGTGACAACAGAACGCATGGGCTCTGTACAGTCATAACTTTTGTGAAGAGTCAGGGAGGTGTGTAACAAGTTTCCCAAGGATTTTCCACAGTATGCTCTGATCCTTGCAGGGTTTTTGTGTGTGTATTTTCTGACATAAAATAACAAGTTGAAATAGCGTGACACTAGGGACAGGAAAACTACAATATATAGGATTTTAAAAAAAACTTTGAAAGCAAAACCACATTTTCACTGGGGCCTTCCTAATGTTCTCCTAATCCAATCTTTGGCATCTGAGTGGTATTCATAAATGGGGGGGGGGGGAGAATAAGTGGGTGGCTCAAGGCAATGGGATAATGGAGACTCACTCTAGTTACCTGGTTTGCATATGGCCCAGGTTGGTATTAAATGACCAAATATGGTTGCTGTTTGATGCTGTTCCATGGCCTACTGTATAATAAATGAGTGAGTGGTCTCTGTCTAGTTCCTAGTATACAGATGTCCACATAACAATGGGCACAAGCTGTCAGCCTAGGTGTCAATCTTTGCAGAGAGGGGAAGGGTTGAATAGACATGGTGACTGAAGTCCTATCTTTGCCCCTAGAGGTTGTCTCTGTCGCTCAGGGTTGAGAGACACACAAGTGGTTTGGGGACGCGTGCACTGCTGATACCAGTACGGTGACTCCTCTGTAGACAGACTGAGGAAACAGACTGTGAAGCAGTCAACTTGGCAGCTTCTATGAAAAATAAATTAAATAGGGGCAAAAATATACTAACTTTTCAGTGCAATGTTGACTTGATTCACTAACATGGAATCACATCAGTAGCATTTTAAATTAGTTGAACCTGCTGACAAAAAGTTTCCCTCTCTTGTCTTAACCCTCCTCTATAAAAACCTGCAGAGATGCCTAATTATTTGTGTCTAGTTTCTATAGTGCATTTGCTCCTGAAAGGCAAGAAAAAACATTACATACATGTTCAAAGGCCTGGGAAAGGTAAAATTTGCTTTTAGTCCTGATAGCCTGGAAAACATTATGAAGAGTTTTATAGCTGAGGATCCTTCCAGGAAGCCATACTATTGAAAGTTCACTTGAAAGTTTTTATTGCGGACAATTTCTTTACTTTGCACTAGCTGTAAGTGTGTCAGCTGAGAGGCAGCTGCCAAGGAGATTTTTGTCTTTTCTGAAAACAATGGTGTTTGAGAAGCCAATGTGGCAGCATCTGTTGCTGGAGCTTCCACATGTGCCTTTCATGTGCTGAAATCATAGAATATCAGGGTTGGAAGGGCCCTCAGGAGGTCATCTAGTCTACCCCCCCTGCTCAAAGCAGGACCAATCTCCAGTTTTTGCCCCAGATCCCTAAATGGCCCCCTCAAGGATTGAACTTACAACCCTGGGTTTAGCAGGCCAATGCTCAAACCACTGAGCTATTCCTCCCCCCAAATCTATGAGAATTCAGGTATCTGCTACTCCCTTTTAATGCTTTGACTAAGGAATTAAATGCACCCTGTTAATTACACTTTCTGATAACTTACATCTTCTCTAGAAACACAAGAGGCGTTAAAAGTAGGACAAGCAGTGAAGCCCTGTGTAGCATGCCCTCCAGAATAGCACTGTACAGATCACATTGTTTGCAAGATTTCTCTGATTGGTGGATTTCTGACTGAGTTTAATGTCAAGTTGCTGATTTCATTTTATTCTTGAGTGACATGCTGTTATTCATTATGGCTCATAATTTTTGCCTTGCCTTGGTCTGAGATATCAAGTGTGGGTATAACAGGGATTACGCTCTTGGGACTTGCAAGGGGGCGCATAATACAGAGGGGGAGGAAGCAAAAGGGAAAGAGAGTTCCCACATATTATGAGGTTACTATGGATTGATCTTAACCAAACTTGTCATTTTTGTGATTGGCCTGAAGAAGTTGAGGTAGGTCTATGAAGCTCCAAAATCTCCCTTACGCAGTATCCCTGCCTGGCTGTCTTCCGCCAGCATTGCCATTCTTTTCATTAGCCGAAAGGACAAGAAGTATATCCAGACTTCTGGCCATTGAGGAGTTAACTGTCTCCATAGAAACTGACGGCAGTGTACTAGTGCAGTGTTTAGACAGACTAAACTACATGCCAGGTTATAAAACACATTGTGGGGAAGAAAGGGACTTGGCAGCAAGTTTTTATCAGCTCTTGAAACTCCTGACAAAATACCAGCTCCAAAGGGAGGAATCAGTGCAGTAAGGGCTGGGAATCAAGACAGGGCTGGAAGAACAGAGCTGTTAAAACAGCTTCTTCAAGAATGCAAGATATTAACTAGCTAGGTGATAACCTGGCAAGTGTTTGTTACCTTCCAAAAACATGCCAGCATAGTGTGGCTTCTGAAGGGGCAGAAAGCTTCTGAGCTGTAGCTCACGAAAGCTCATGCTCAAATAAATTGGTTAGTCTCTAAGGTGCCACAAGTCCTCCTTTTCTTTTTGCTCTGGAAATGTAATGCAAGTGCTTGTTGTTGGAATTCAGTAGGTAGGGCTTAGGGACCATCTTTCATTTAGTCTGTCCTGCCCTAATGGGGGATATGGCACTAGAATTTCATTTTGAATTACCGTGGGCTCAGCTCTGTGGCAGGGTTCCAACCCTGGAATCTTCTGCAGCCTTTTAACCAACTTTTCAGAAACAGATGCTCAAGCAAACCCAGGGAGAGGGCAGTTTTTTAAACAGACAGATTCTTTCAATACCAAAATCAGAGGTTGTGGTTTCGGGAGGAAGCCTAGACTCTATACGCAGCCATACTTTTGAAAAACAGTACTGCTAATCAGGAGACATGGCTGTCACTTGGGGCCTCTTCACTCACCCTGGACATGCCAGAGTGACAAATGGAGTCACAGTAAGTAACGAGATAGAGGGGTGCTTGCGTCTTGTTGCTCAAATTAGGGGAGGGACGAGGCAGAATCTCTGAGATTGATCCACAGCCAAACTGGTGCTTTAACTCCTGGTTTTCTTTCTTTTTAACTGAATTGTGACTTCCTGTATAAGAGCCAGGATGGACAGCTCTAGAGTTGACCAAGTGGCAAACTCAGTGCAAACTGTTAAGGTTTGATAAAGGAACTTTGCCTCCTTTGCTTTCCAAGAATGTGAATTTTTTTTATTGTTATTTTTGTTGCTGGGCCTTTGGAGGGAACAAAGACCACAGGCGCTTTGTCCCCTTTTGTCAAAGCTGTGACAATTCCAGCTGGATGTGGCTGACATGAAAGGGGCTTGTTTGTACTCTTCTTTCTGCGGGAGCAGCAGGAACTTTTCAGATTGGCTGCTGAATGTTGCATTCCTGCAGATTTGGAAAGAAGCAAAAAAGGAACTACTTTTTTGTTGTATTTGTGTTTTTTGTTACTGGTTATTTAGGGCCCAATAATGCAGGAGTAGAGTGTATTTAGCATTTGTAGAATTTGGCCTGGAATATGTCACGCCTCCAAATGGTTTTGTCCCAAAAATGTTATGGAAATTATTGTCCCCAAGAAGTGATGCAGAACATTTAATAATGCAATTCTGAAGGGTTTCCTTAGTATCTGGTTACTACTGCACATGCTTACTCCAGATTTCCTGCAGGAAGTAACCCCACAAAGACCTCTGCACCAGCAGAGAGCCAGATGTTCTAGCCCACAGTCCCAGAGTTCCTTACTTTAAGCAGAAATTTCTTCCTTTCAGTGTTTCCCACCTGCTCTTGAGAACCCTCCACCTGGCAGTTGTTTCTGGGAAAAAATAGGGAGGCAAGAGTGTAATTATGTACAGCAATGTGCTGTGCTAGGAGAAAACATTTGCCTTTCACTTTGCAAACTTTTTCATCTACAGAGGGGTGTTTGTGTAACTTTAAATTCAGCAAATCTGGCTAATTCCGTCAATAGTTTTCTGCAGCACAAAAAAATAAGGGAATTGTTATTTATTATTCTTATTAAACTCCATTAGTGCACTTGATACTTTGCAAGACACAAAGACTGTCCCTCACCTGAAGAGTCTCCTAGG